TCGCAGGCTCTGTGATGGTGGTAGGCGTGACGATGGTAACGTTGTCCCGCTTCGGCGCCACCTCAGCCAGCGGGGCCTCGGCGATGCTCCACGGGATGGAGCACCCCGCGACCTGCACCGTATAGGTGAGTGGGGGCCGATGGGCGCGCACTAGGGCAAACTGGGCCGCAGTGGCTGGGCCCCAGGCGGTGTGGTAGACCTCACAGTCCCATTTGACGGACGGGCCCGTGAGAGTCTTGGCGAGCTGGGTCAGCGTGGCGTGGCGTGACGCAATGCCAGTGATGCGGTAGCGCGTCTTGGCGAGGGTGGCCTCGCAGCCGCGGATGCTGACAGCAGCGGCCTTGGCGACGTCAGACCCCCGCGGAACACGGATCCCCAGCAGGCCTGACTTGCCGTGCCTGACGACTCCCAGGGCCTTGAGCTCCACCGACTTCTGGAACGCGTCTGCCATCGTGATGGGCTGGTCCTCAGGGAACCACACGGTCTGATACTTGTCGGCGGTGGGCTCGTCTGCACCTACGTTGCTGAGGTCGTAGGTGGCACCGAGTTGCCCTGATCCCGCCAGGACCTTGTCGACCGCTTGGAGACTGACGCCGAAGGTGGCAGCCAGGGACCTCTTTCCGACGCCCGATCCAAACCTGCCTAGGCTTTTGCAGGGTTCGAGGATGGTGACGGCTTTAAAGTTGCCGTGGAAGAGGGCCTTGAAGGTGTCCTGGAGCTGGCCATCGAGCTCCTGGCGGCGAGCGTCTTTCTTGGACTCCTTGTGCTTTTGGCGCGCCTTGTCCTGTGGAGCGGAGTCGCCTCGAAAAGGGCCCTTGGCGCGTGGACCACCGTTCACGGGGGCACCTCCCGAGAACTGGTCCTCGAAGGCCTGGTGCATGGAGGGGACTGTGGCAATGGCCTCGGTCTCGTGTATGGTCGCCCGAATCCAGCAGACGTGGTCGGCGGGGTCGATGGTGGCGACGGCTACCTTTTCCGTGCAGGCGACCTCCTTGGTGCCCAGCTGGTACACGATCACGGGGACGTGCGTGTGGACCACTTTGGGCGCCTTGGGGTGGCGCTTCAGGACGGGGACGGCGAGCTCGGTACCGACGTAGTTGTCGTTTTTCGGGCCCATGACAGCAATCGCGAGCTGGCCCGTGGCTCGCTTGCCCTGCCCGAGGTGGTGTTGCAGCAGCCGTTCGCCACTCTCGAAGTCGTGGAGGCTGATGCTGGGCTTGTACGTCTTGCCGTCGTCAGGCGAGGTGGGTTCGGCAAGAACAGGGACCTTCCAAAAGGCAGGGTCCAAGGCGATGAATTGGGTGTCCGCAGCCTGAAGACGTGCGGAGCCCGATGGTGGGTGCGATGTGTCACCGCCAGTGCGCTTAGGCTTGCTGCGCTGGTAGTGGTCGAGCGTGTAGCTGATCTGGTTGGCGGCGCACATGCGGATAAGGGCGCTGCCAAGCTTCTTCGTGTTGGACTTGTGCATGTCGTACTTTGCCTGGAGCTCGTCCGCGTTCAGTTCGGCTAGCCCGTTATAGGCGGCCGTGGGGCGGTCAGACCCCGCTTGCCTGAACGCTGCGACGCAGTCCTGCTTGCGTTGAAGGAGGGACCCTTCAGCAGCAGGGCGCGTGGGACGGGAGCTCGGAGGCTGCTTTGAAGAGTGACGGCGCTCCGGCTTCTTGGGGGCCATTGCTGCGGGCACTCTGGTGCGGGGAGGTGACGCGAATCAGTGGGGTCCTGCTGGGACCCCTCCGGTCTCGCGAGGCCTGGGAGTCTGACTCCGAGGCGGGGCGCTTCGCGTCGTGGCTGCGGTCTGAGTGCAGAGCACTCTCGAGCCGAGACTGGAGAGAGAGGGAGAGAGAGAGAGAGAGAGAGCTGGCTAGGAACGCGCGCGCGCATCCCACCCCCTCGACAGGACTGGTGGGTGGGGTGCTCCTGCGCGCGCTCTCGACGCTCGCGCCCCCAGCCCAGGGCCAGCTCCCTCCTCGAACCCGCCCCCTCGCAGCCCCTTTTTTGGAACGGGGCAGGCGGCGCGCGTCGCATCCCCGCGGGCGTTTCGCCGAGCGACCGCGGGCGTTGGGATCTCGCTCCACGTTTGGAACGCCGCGCGGGCGGCGCTCGATTTGAGTGCGCGGCGCGCGCGCCGCGCCCTGCGCGGCGGCGCCGCGGCGTCGCGTCGGCAGCGGCCGCTGCGACGTCACGTTGGGGTCGGCGCGCGGCGCCGGGCAACATCCTCGCGCGACTCGGCGGCGCTCGCGCTCGCAGGGGGGAGATAGAGATAGAGATAGAGAGAGATGAGAGAGAGAGAGAGAGAGAGGGAGAGAGAGAGAGAGAAAGAGAGAGAGAGAGAGAAAGAGAGAGAGAGAGAGAGAGACAAAGAGGAGAGAGAGAGAGAGAGAGAAAGAGAGAGAGAGAGAAATAAAAAAAAAAAACAAAAAAAAAAAAAAAAAAAAAAAAAAAAAAAAAAAAAAAAAAAAAAAAAAAAAAAAAAAAAAAAACGTCGGAGGCGAGCCCCAGAGGGGGAACTGAGCGGGGGTGGGCCTTCTTAGAAGGCCCGGAAGTTCCCCGGCCTTCTTAGAAGTTCCCGAGGCCTTCCCCGAAGACGCAAAACAATCTCAGAAGGCCTGGGGGTTTGGGGCATGGGTCGTGAGTTTGGGGGCGCCCATTGAGCAGAAATCCGTGTCTACTTGTCGTGGGCCGTAGGCTGCGACGCGTCATGCCTATCCCTCTGCGCGTTTGAATTATTACCGTGGGCCAGTCCTCCACTCGTGCACGCCTGGCGCCCTCCAGGGCAGCGTGCATGGACCTTCGTAGAATTCTTTCCACGGTTCCAGCACGTCCTCCTGTCTCTCGTCTGTGCCGTCGTGCCGGATTGTGCTTCCTGTGGCTCTGGCGATGGCCGCCGGTCCGATGTCGTCGCAGTCGTCGCTGGCGTGGTCTCGCATGTCGTGACAGCGTGGCCCCCCCTGCTATACGCCTGAGTACACTTCGCTGGGCACGCCGTAAAGAGATGATCATGCCCCTGGTGAGGGTCCACGAGGTGCACCCGTACATCACCGATTGTGTGATTGTGCCGTTGAGGAGCCTCAGTTGACTGAAGTGGGAGGCGCTTGTTTGCCCTTTCGCGACGAACTTCAATGACGCGGCCCCACCCTGCAGCAGTCCTGTTGTGCGGTTCTGCTCTGTGGGCGTCCTGAAAAATGAGCTCATTTTCGAGATATTTTGCGTTCCGGCTGGAGCGCAAGATTTCGAACATGTCGTCGATGTGGCCGACGTGGGTAATGTGTTCCTTTCTTCCAGCCGACATTCGTCTACATGTTGGTCTTGTTTAGATGTAGTGACAGACCACTGCATTGTGTTGCTTGGGCCTGTACGTCTCAGGGCAGACAGGAGAAACAACTATCGTAAGTGCGGGGGTAGAACGACACATCGCCAGCGAAATGCAGATGTATCCGCGAACGCAGTGCGAAGCCGAGTGGGGTCCCAAACCTCTTGTGAAACCACGAAGGTGTATCACCTGTTTGAATACATGTTCAAGGACTTCACTGAATGGGAAGGAGCTTATTGGGCCTCCACGTTCTACGCCTAGCTGGATCATGAATGCTCTGCTGGTGGTATCCTTTCTGACAATTGCCGCTTGATCAGGATACAGTTGCTTCAATAAGTGGATGTAGGCGGGCGGCTGGTAGACGCTGTTGTCGCAGAGTTGTGATGTCGAGGGATCGTGGCCTCGGGAGTGGGGGTCGATGCATGCAGGAGTCCGCTAGAAGGGAAGCAGGGGGGGCGGCCGTAGCAGAATACAGAGGCCTTACCAGACAGCATTTGGCATTCGTCCACACCTCAGCGTGCCAGGGGGCACGGTAGCGGATAAACACGTGTGGGGCCGCGCTCGTCTCGTTTGAAGGGAGGGGGGACGAGGAAGGAGGAGGAGGAGGAGGCGGGAGGGGGAGGAGGAGGAGGAGGAGGAGGAGGAGGAGGAGGAGGCGGAGGAGGAGGAGGGGAGGAGGAGGGAGGAGGAGGGAGGAGGAGGGAGGAGGAGGAGAGGAGGAGGAGGGAGGAGGAGGAGGAGGAGGAGGAGAGGAGGAGGAGGAGAGGAGAGGAGGAGAGAGAGAGGAGGTGGAGGAGGAGAGAGAGGAGGAGGAGGAGGAGGAGGAGGAGGAGGAGGAGGAGGAGGAGGAGGAGGAGGAGGAGGATGAAGCATGGAGGCTTCCCCCCCTCTCGTGCTCACGCGGTTGTCCTCGCTTGTCTTGGAAGTCTGCGTCTGCCAATGTCGCGCCTCGGTCTCGTGTCCTCGGAGCGGGTATGGGGAGGCTCGGCCGGCGGAGGCTGTCAGGGCAGGAGGAGAAGTAGGAGGAAGCATCTTGTGAGGAGGAGGAGGAGGAGGAGGAGGAGGGAGGAAGAGGAGGAAGGATCTTGTGAGGAGGAGAAGGAGGAGGAGGAGGAGGAGGGAGGAGTCATCTTGTGAGGAGGAGAGGAGGAGGAGGAGGAGGAGGAGGGAGGAGGAGAGGGAGAAGGAGGACGGAGGAGGAGGAGGAGGAGGAGGAGGAGGACGGAGGAGGATGATAATAATAATAATGATGATGCTGCTGCTGCTGATGATGATGCTGCTGCTGCTGATGATGATGATGATGATGATGGTGGTGGTGGTGATGATGATGATGATGAGGATGAGGATGAGGATGAGGATGAGGATGAGGATGAGAATAAGGAGGAGGAGGAGGAGGGGGAGGAGGAGGAGAAGGAGGAGGATGGAAAGGAGGAGGAGGAGGAGGAGAGGAGGAGAAGGAGGCGGAGGGAGGAAAGGAGGAGGAGGAGGAGGAGGAGGAGGATGAGGAGGAAGAGGAGGAGGAGGAGGAGGAGGAGGAGGAAGCATGGATGAGGTTGAGGAGGAGCTGGTTACGTGCGAGGAGGAGGAGGAGGAGGATAATGAAGCGAGGAGGAGGAGGAGGAGAGGAGCAGAGGGAGGACGGCGGAGTGAAGGTTCAGAAGGAGGCATGGAGCGATGAGCGGGCCGGAAGGTCACCTCCCTGCAGCTGCTCAATCAGCCCGGCCTGGCCCCCGCGGAGGCGACTCGGCGGAGGGAGCGTTCCCTTCCCGTCCTCCACTCCCCTCCTCCTCCTTCCCTCCCCCCGCCCGCTTCCCTCCTACTCCTCCCCCCTCCCCTCCTCTCCTCCCCGAGGAGGAGGAGGAGGAGAATGAGGAGGAAGAGGAGGAGGAGGAGGAGGAGGAGGAGGAAGCATGGATGAGGTTGAGGAGGAGCTGGTTACGTGCGAGGAGGAGGAGGAGGAGGATAATGAAGCGAGGAGGAGGAGGAGGAGAGGAGCAGAGGGAGGACGGCGGAGTGAAGGTTCAGAAGGAGGCATGGAGCGATGAGCGGGCCGGAAGGTCACCTCCCTGCAGCTGCTCAATCAGCCCGGCCTGGCCCCCGCGGAGGCGACTCGGCGGAGGGAGCGTTCCCTTCCCGTCCTCCACTCCCCTCCTCCTCCTTCCCTCCCCCCGCCCGCTTCCCTCCTACTCCTCCCCCCTCCCCTCCTCTCCTCCCCTCCCCCCTCGCTTCTCAAGCCACCGCGGCTCGAGGTCCGCCTCCCGCGTCGGGCACTCGGGCCGCGCCCATGAAGGGCGCGTGGTGCTCGAGGGGGCCCGCGCCGCGCGCGGGCCTAGACTGCCGCCGTCGGGAGGCGGTGCCGAGGGGCTTCGCCTCGACGCGTCGTCGTCTGCGAGCTGGTGGCAAGCTCGCAGGCGGTGGCCAAAGTGGGCGTAGATCATGCACGGCGTCTATGCCAGGGGCCCGTAGGTGGGGCATGATGCATCTGTTCCTCTTACTCGCCCTTGTCACGTCAAGCTTCGGGGGAGGATCCCAGTCACCCCGCCAACGACGACGAGGGGGAGGCCAAGGCGACTTCGAATTCCAGCAGCTGTTGGTTTGGGCCAGGACCGCCTGTCCACACGCTGGAAGCAGGGGCAGGCAAGCGCGTGGATCCTACAATCTTTTTATGACTTCGTCGTTGGTCACAATCCGATTCCTATTCCCTCCCCCCTCGCTTTGCCTCCTCTTCTCCTCTAATTCTCCTCCCCTTTCCCCCACACCCCCCGCGCACCCCCTTCCAACCCACTCCCTTTTCTTCCGCCCCCCCCCCCCGCTTTTCTGCACCCGTCGCGAGGGAGGAGGGGGAGTGGCGGACAGGCTGTGTCGGCCTCGAAACAGTGGTTCTGCCAGGAGGGCGGGCTGGGTCACAAAAGTGCGTTGGGGAGGGGCCGCAGCGGGTCGCACAGACGTTTGTGCTACCAGGGTGGAACAGCTTGTTCGGATTCAACTCCTGGGAGGTGAAATTCTGATTTTGCCCTGGTCCGAAATCCGGCTTAATCCCGCTTAATCCTGCTTTATCCGGCTTGATCCCGCTTAATCCCGCGCAATCCGGCTTAATCCGAGGCCCACTCCGGCGTAACAGCCCCCCAATGGGGCTTAATCCTCTTTCATCCTCCGACGAGAACCTCCCAGTAGTTGCCTCCTAAAGCTTGGCTGGGAGAGGTTCAGTATGGGTCGAAAAGCTGGGCGCGTGGCGTGGCTGGCGGAAGGCAGGGGTGGCGTCACGATTACAGCAACGACGTCGACGATGATGACCTGTGCGACGACGATTCAGGCGAGCAGTTGCGTCGACAGTGGCGTCGGCGGTGAATATGATGATAACGCATCGGTTTATGTTGAGACGGCACGGGTGCTGATTTCGATGTCGATGATGGCGGTATGGCCATGGTGCTTCCAGTGGTGAGGCAATGGGGCATTCGGTAAAACGTGATGGTAGTGACGATGGTGATGATGGTCGAGGTGGGCAAACAAACTTTCCGATTGGTCATGAGCCACTTCCTGAGGGCTCGCCTCACAAGGCTCAGGGCACAGATTTTCGACGTGCTCGCTGACCGAGTCACCGTCTATTCCGAGTGCGCGCGTCCCTGGCTCATATTCCATATTCGCCTCGTTGTTGGCACCGGCTAGGGCCACCTTCACGACCCCATCCCTAGGGTTGATGGCGACAGAGGGGGCGTACGGCATTCGGCGTGACCCTGCCCGCTGGTGTGGCAATGACGGCGATGACGCTGGTGGTACCTAATATGAGAGGCTGCATCGGGCCAGATATAAAAACACGCGTGTCCCAGAAGGCGGACGGTGAGGATAATGTAACCTGGTCGGAAGACCTGCGCTAATTTTCAGAGGTGCAGACAGGCGTTCGAATCGTCGAGCGGATGATGATGACGATGCTGATGCTGATGTTGATGCTGATGGTGATGATGGTGCTGATGGTCATGGTCATGGTCATGGTCATGGTCACGGTCATGGTGATGATGATGATGATGATGATGATGATGATGATGATGATGATGATGGTGATGGTGATGGTGATGATGATGTTGATGATGATAATGATGCTGGTGCTGCTGCTGATGATGATAATGATGATAATGATGACGATGATGATGATGCTCATGGTGATGATGATGCTGATGATGATGGTGATGGTGGTGGTGATGATGGTGATGATGATGGTGGCAATGGTGCTGCTACTTATTGCTGCTGATGATGATGGTGATGATGATGATGATGTGACTGATGATGATGATGTTGATGCTGATGCTGATGATGATGATGATGTTGATGTTGATGATGATGTGACTGATGCTCATGATGATGAGGATGATGATGATGTGACTGATGAGGATGAGGATGATGATGATAATGATGATGATGATGATGATGATGATGATGATGATGATGATGATGATGATGATGATGATGATGATGATGATGATAGTGATAGTGATAGTGATAGTGATAGTGATGGTGGTAGTGGTGGTAGTGGTGGTAGTGGTGGGGGGGGGGATGATGATGACTATCATCATCACCATCACCACCATCATCATGAACAACAACATTAACATGAGCATCACCATCATCACCATCATCAGCAGCCTCATCATCATCTCCAGACTGCCGCCTCCCCGCCTGGCTGCCCGCGCGTGCCGGCCCCGGATCGCACGCCGCCGCCCCCTCCCCTCCCGCGCGCGCTCGCCCCGTCTGCCCCGCCCGGCCCCGCGCCTCGCTGGCGCCCTGCCGCAGCTGCTCCGCTCGCCGACTGCAGACCTTCCGGGGGCGGCCAAGAGGGGGGGGGGTGGGTGATGACCAGGGGGGGGGGGGGGACAGCATGGCGAGGGCCGGGGTCTCTCCCCAGACTTCACGGCGCCCCTCCTGGTTTCAATGCGTCCCCGGCCCCCCCCCTGGGCAGCGCACTGGCCGCCAGCCATGCTTTGCGCAATGAGATGGCGCCGATTCAGCGTCGGCCAGCGTCGATTAGCGTCGATTCAGCGTCGATGTAGCGCCAATTCTCGTCGATTCGCAAGAGCCGACAAGATTGTGTGGGAGGCTCCCATGAGTTGCCACCAAAATCGCCCGGACGTGTGCGTATCTTCCCCCCGGCGAGGACCCTCGAGGAGCGTCTTGGCCCATCTTGCGAGAAAGAGAAGGGAACGCACGATGCCGACGAGTGCGCGGAGAATGGGCGCCCGAGCGACGGCAAGAAGCGCCGTGGTTACGCTGGGGTGCGGCTCGCGATGTGCGTCGGCTGGCGCTCGGAGGGCACCACATCACCGTCGCCGGGCCTCCTCGGGGCGCGGCGGAGCTCTCCGTCGAGGTCCTCGCCTGTCCCCCACGGGGCTCGACTCGGTTCCTCCGATTCCGACTCGATTCGGCTTCGATGGTTCCGATCCCGATTCGATTCGACCTGGGATTCCGCTGCGGGCTCCGATTTCTCGCTGGAGACACAGAACTAGCCTGCCGAGCTCCGCCGATTCGACTCGTCCCGACCCAGGTGCCGAGTTCGGCCGAGCCGATTCGGTTCGGCAACCGCTCCGACTTGTCGGTTTGACTCTGAGCTCGCCCGCCCCCCCTGGGCGCGCGTTTGCAAGGCCACGCCCTCTGCAGGCCACGCCATGCGGAGGCGCCGATCTCCATCCTCTGGGCTCCTCGCCCCTCGGCGCTCTTCCGCCCCCCCCCCCCCCGCGCGCTCCCCGGCGGCAGAGAAGGGGAGCCCGATGTGTGCTCGAAGCTCCGGTTTGGGGCTGCACTTGCTCGCGCTGGCTCCCAGAGATCCAAGGTATGAAAAAGGGAAGACAGATGCTTGTCTCCATTGTTCGGCCTCTAGGGGCCCTCGCCAGGCCCCAGGACCGCCAGAAAACGGCTCAGGATGAAAAACCGGTCCTCGGGAACGGGTCGAGACTTACGTGGGCCCCGTATTGAAGAATTCACGACATCGGATCTCTGGATTTTTTGGTTGAATCGATGAGACGGCGCCGACTTAGCCTCGATCAGCGCTGATCTGGCGCCGACTAGCGTCGATTCGCGTCGATTCTTCCGGTATGTCCTCGAAGATCCAGTTTGGGACTGCATTTGCTCGGGTTGTTCTTTTTTGAATCGATGACAGAGCGCCGACTTATAGCCTCGATCGGCGCCGATCTAGCGTCGACTCGCGTCGATTCGCCCGGTGTGTCCTCGAAGTTCCGAATTTGGGACCGCATTTGCTCGGGTTGGTTCTTTGGCTGGAATCGATGAGACAGCGCCGACTTGGCCTCGATCAGCGCCGGTATAGCGTCGATTAGCGTCGATTCGTGTCGATTCGCCCGATGTGTCCTCGAAGTTCCGGTTTGGGGTTGCATTTGTTCGTTTTTTTGGGTGGGAATCGATGAGGCAGCGCCGACTTAGCCTCGATCAGCGCCGATCTAGCGTCGATTCGCGTCGATTCGCCCGGTGTGTCCTCGAAGTCCCGGTCTGGGGACCGCATTTGCTCGCGCGGAGTTCTGTTGCTCGGTGCGACAGCGCCGACTCGGCTTCGAGCCGCGCCGATCTGGCGTCGGCCGGCGTCGACTCGCGCTCCCTTCGCAACAGCGCCCAGCCAGGTGCCGTGGGAGGCTCCCGCGAGTGGCCACCGAGCGCGCACCCCGCTCCGCCGCCGCAGGGCATGCGCTGGCTCATCTGCCTGACGGACGGTGAGCTGGCCCGTCGCTCGCGCCCAAGGGTTCTCCCTGCAGCGTCGTGCCGGTGCGGCCAGCGTCGTCCGCGCTCTTGCCTTCCCCCCCTCTCCCCCCACGGCGCCCCCGCTCTCTCCCCCCGCCTCCCCTGCCCTGCCCTCTCCTCTCTCGGCTCCTCCTCCCTCTCTCGGCCGTTCCCTCGCTCCTTTTCCCCGCTGTCTCCCCCGGCTTCTCTTCTATCCCCCCTCCCCCCTCTCTCTCTATCCCTCTCTTGCTCCACCCCTGCCCTCCCGCCCTACGCATCCTGTGATGGATGGCTTGTGGCAGTCCGGGTCGTGGTGCCCCCAAGGCCCTCGCGCCCACTCTGCCCCGGCGCGTTGGAGCCACTCCGCGAGGCTTCCGAGGTCCGAGGAGGCCTCCCCCAAGGGCGAGGCGCCCAGCGAGGGAGCAGTGCGATTGGGGGCGCTGCTCGCCAGCACCCCCTCCCAATTTTGAACAGGCCAGGCCTGGTTTCCACAGCGAGCGGTGCGAGGTGCTTGCTGCTGTCGGCAGATTCGTCTTCGTCTGCTGCTGCTGCTGTGAGCGGGCCATGCGCTGTCGGCACGAGATGTTCGAGCAGCAACGGCAGCCACACGAGTCGTCGGAAAAGTCGCGGGATGGGCACTACGTCCTGCACAGTGCCATCGGAGCTCAGCGCCCACTTGCCACCGCCCCAAGCTGACTATGACGATAATCTCCTCTCCCTTCGTTCCCCCTCCCAGGGGGGGGGGCATGCGGGGGCCGAGAAAGATGAGGAAGAGGAGGAGTGCGAGGATAAGTGAGAAGGGAGAAGGGGACAAGGACGAGGGAGGAGGGAAGCGCGAGGAGGAACGAGGGATCAGGGAAGAGGGAGAAGGGGCAATAGAATAGGAGGGGGCTTAAAAGAGGAAGGGTGAGGAGGAGAATGAGCAGGAGGAGGAGACTGAAGCGAGGCGAACGCCAGGATCGTTACAGGCCAGTTGCGGCGGATTCCTGGGTTCTCCATTCGTTGACTTGGGAAGACAGACGCATTAGCCACTCGCTACGTGGTAAGAGTTCAATGCCCGATTATGTCCCGGGGAGGCGGCAAGCTATGGACGGGGCGAACATGCATGTCCATATCATGGCATTGGGGGGCGCCTTTGCAACTCGCGGCACAGCTCTAGTGTCGCAGCAGTGGGACTGATAGAATATCGTGACGGGTGCCAGCGTCGGAGTTCAGCTCGAGTAGACTTGAAAGTTCGGAAGGCTTCGGAGGTGCGCCGGGGAGCTCGCCCCTTCCCCCTCCCCCACACACGTTCTCTGGCATTTTGGCCCCCTGGGGAGGGGGAAGGGGGAGGGGCACGGAGGAGGAGGATGAGGAGGAGGAGGAGGAGGGGGAGGAGGAGGAGGAGAGGGAGGAGGAGGAGGAGGAGGAGGAGGAGGGAGGAGGAGGAGGAGGAGGAGGAGGAGGAGGAGGAGGAGGAGGAGGAGGGAGGAGGAGGAGGAGGAGGAGGAGGAGGAGGTTGGACCCCTGGGGAGGGGGAAAGGGGGAGGGGGACGGCCAACCATCTCACACGGCGTCTCTCTCCCCAGGCAAGCGGGGGTCGGCGGATCTCTCTTGGTCCCGGCGGGAGGGGCCAAGTACCACCAGCCAGAATTCCAGCATGCTTGCCGACCTTCGCACGAGGCACATCGAATCCGAATTTCAGGGCGATCGTTCAGATATTCGAAGAAGAAGACACACATTAACATATTTGTTTTGCGCTCCGCGCTGGATTTCTTGGATCCGCGCTGGACCCCCCCGGCGGCGCCTCTGGCGCCGCCCCTGGCGCGCTCCGCGCCAGGGAGGGGAGTCTAGCGCAGATCCAAGAAAAGAAATCCGCGCAGAGCATCGAAAGTTTATGGTTATGACGTTTTCTCTTCTTCTAGGTACCAGTGTGAGCTGGCTTGGTCAGGCGGCTAACAACAACCGCCCATTCAGAATACATCGTGCGTTGTGCTCCAGTCCCTCGTGCAGGGCGTAGGGCTGGCTTGCGGAAGGTTAGAGGAGGTGGTCGTCCCCATGGTGGTACATCTGAAAACCACGGTCGATAACCTGCCCTCACTGTTCAACATGCGCGTCCTCTCAGTCTATTTTGCTTCGCTGGCTGAGCCGCCCGCTAAGTCGCCAGGACCTACTCATTCTCCTCGTCATTCCACTCCGTTTCTGATCAGCCTCTCCTTGCAGCATGTCGGTGGAGAATCAGAAAGAGGACGAGGAGGAGGAGGACGAGCGAAGAAGAGGAGGAGGAGGAGGATTGCTACTTGGTGAAGGTGACGATCTTGGCAGCCAACGGGGCAACCAGAACGGGGATCGCTGCAACCCGCGACCCTCCTATTTGTACACACCTTATTGTGCACACGCTGCTTCTATATCTGTCCAGCTGGCATTCCTCGGAGTATCTCCCTGAATTTCGAAACCTGATTTCCAATCAATTTGATTTCCCTGTCGCGGCATGCAGCTGGCTCAATATCTCACAACACGGAATGTTGTGCGTTGACGTTGTGGTTTTTGCAGATGACGCAAGATCACGAGATTGTAATTGAACATGTGGCCACTCTTGCTTGCCAGAGCTACCTGATATGGACTTTGCGTATATGTAGCAAATGCGTTTCGTGCAACAATCGTTCCGGTTGACAGCTTCTGTTGATTTCGGCATCGTGTGCCATTGCTCTTGAGTTTGGCCTCCTCAGATAGTTGCGTATGCTCTTGGGTGCCTTGTTGCCAGGAGATGGTAAACCACATCTTGAATACGCGCCCCCCTGCCAACTTGAACATGGTGATGATAACGGTTGGTCCACTGAAGGCGATTTGGCATTTGGTGTGTCTATGTTCGTTCTTCTTCTTCTTCTTTGCATCACGTTCGAAAGTTCAGTCGGAAGTTGAGCACACGTTTGGATGGCAGCTGAATTACGGAGGCCAGAGGGAAGCAGAATGAGGATGCGGCCCGATACGATGGCTGAGAGCGCTTAGACTCATTATACTATCGTACTGTACCCGATGGTCGACTGTAACCACAAAATCAGATTCCGGAAGCGAGGGTGCCCACGGAAAGTTTGCAGGATCGTTGTGGTTTTGCGGAAAGGTTGCGCGATGACTCGGAGAACGGAAGCAGGCGAGCCATTGATGCGAAGGACGTACGGCAGATATAATTGATGGCCGACGTTCAGCGGCGTGCCATCCACACAAGGGGAGTTGGTGGGCATCAGTTGTTCGGAGGATGAGTTGGGCTGTAGGGCGAGACTTCGATCAGACAGTGGGGCGTGATCCGCACCACGACTACAGCAAAGTGAACGAGATCGGCATCCGAACCGTTCTGGGCGGTATACCGATCTCTTTTCCTGGTGCCTTGCAATAAGAAGCCCTGCAGGGTAGGCAGGTGCTCAAGGGTCTGGCATTTTATGTTTCCATGTTTCATCAAGTTCGAATGTCATGCTCCAGGGACGAAGCCGAGCCGATTCTTCAGCGACTGTACACCCCATCCCTTGAGATCAAGACTTCGCTTTCTCTGAGCAGACAGCCGAGCATTTGGTTTTCGGAGATATCAGTGCCTTAAGTATCATTGGATGTTGGACGAGGATGCGCATGGGAGTTGCTCAAGGGAGCTTTGGGCAGGAACATCCGAGCGGATGCACCTCTTCTTGCTTGGTGGCTTTGTAATGAGATCCATTGTTTGTTCCATTGCTTTATTGCTTTGCTCATCGTTTGCCAGGTGCTTCTTACCCCGAGCGTTACGTTCTCTCCCCCCCCCGCGCAGGAGCAAAACCTGCGGATAATGGACTCATGGGTGGAGTCCGCTTGAATCTCTCTGTTGTTTCTTTTATATGCAGCTCAGTCGTCATGTCCGCATGATCTGCCAGGCCAGCGCATCGAAGTGACAATACACATGCATGCCTCCTGGTGCTTTAAACACGAATACCGGTTATCTGTGACGCCATCCTCTCGGAGATTTTGGGTGGGCGATCGTGAAACCGCGAGAAGCACATCCTTGGCTATGTTGGTGCATGTAGTGGTCGCAAGGATGGCCGATGCAGACGGCTACAGCTCGACGAGGGCCTCGGAGAGGTAGCTTCCCTGTGCTCTCGAACGGCGCTCCCTCGCCCTGCTTAGAGGGGCGACCCTTCCGAGAGAGAGGCCGTGCCCAGTTGCGGGCACCTTCGCCGCGCACACGAGCTTGGTTCGCCCGCTCGCCACCTCCGCGGTTCGCGGGCTCGTCTCGCCCCAGGGCGGCCGCTGGGCCAGGAATACACACCGTGGTGGCCAGGCGGTGATTCTTCCCCCTCCTGCTCCTCCTCCTGCTCCTCCTCCTCCTGCTGCTCCTCCTCCTCCTCCTGCTCCTCCTCCTCCTCCTTCCCGGTCTGGATCGCTTCCAGGGACCGGGGAGGGTCCCCCAGGGGGCAGCGCTGGGGAGACCGCGAGCTCGCCACGTCTGCCTCGTCTTCCTTGTCTGCCCCCCCCCCCCCCCCTTCGTCCTGCTCTTGTGCTGGGCCCCGGGTGGCATGCCGCCTCGTGATTGCAGTGTTGTCCTGACGGCATGGCGAACACTTGTGCCCAAAGGGCCAAGGCAGGGGCCCCCGAGGCGGGCTGCTTCGAGGGCCTGCGGCCAGAGGCGCCAAGTCTCAGAGGACGCCCCTCAAGACGGGGAGCTCCTGGAGATGTCGATTCAGGCCTCTCAAATGTGGTCCGAGTAGATGTGTCCGGACATTGGGCGCCGCAAACTGGACATCTCGAACCAATGCCTAGGAGAGCCGTCTGAGGAATGGCTTTGGGGGCTCCGCATGAGCATCAACATGTGCCATCGAAAATAGATACCAGATTCGTGACCAGAATGAACATGCAGACACGATACGCAGCGACACGGCCGCGGCGGAAGCGTGGCGGGGGGAGGCAGTAGGAAGCGGGAAAAATTGTTTGGGGGGTGTAGACACGGGTTCCCATGGCAGGGCGGCCAGCTTGAGCCGCATTAGTGGTTCTCTCGAACTCGTCCCGGAGTTGTCGACCGCGGCTGGCTTGGATCAGGAACAGGACGGAAAGCAGGAGAAGGGGAAAGATGCTGATCAGTAAATGCCCCGAAGGATCCGTGGAATACCGAAAATCGGCCAGAAGAAGTATCACCACCATTTGCTTTACGAGCCTTCTACATACTTCCCGGGATCATCTTGGGGGTGGGGGGAGAGGAGGAGGAGGAGGAGGAGGAGGAGGCGGAGGAGGAGGAGGAGAGGATGAGGGTGACAGATGGAGGAGAAGGGGGATGAAAAGGGGGAGGAGGGGGAGGAGGAGGAGGAGGAGGAGGAGGAGGAGAAGGAGGACCAGTCTACACCCAAGAGTCATCAACGATATTGGAATAAACCCTCCATCCAAGCTCCCTCTTCATAGGCCCCTACAACGGGTAATTTCCACTGGGGGAGTTGCCTCGCTGGAAGACAAAAGTTTGAATACCCTGAAGAATGCCAAAACATTGTTCTCGGGATTCCAACGCCACGGATCAACCTAACTGTTGCGTCATGACGATCCAGAGCCGTGCCAGAACGCTATTCCTGGGACTTTTTAACACCGCGAATCAACATACGTGTTGCACCTTCATAATCGTGAATCCTTTTAAAACGCAATTGCTGGTACGTTGGCCATGGAGGTCCATGAAACTCTTGCATTAAAAACATGAATATGCGCTGCGCTAAGGCGAGAGCCACACTTTGAAAAGGAACCGCCCTGAATCCGTGAAGCTCGTGTGCATGTTCAAAATGAATGTCTGCGGCACCAAGGCGAGAAGCACAGTTTGAAAACGACCCGCCCCCAATCCGTGAAACTCTTGCGTATCTTTAAAGCGAGTGTGTGCGGCGCTGAAGCGAGAACCACATGTTGAAAACGGCCCGCCCTCAATTCGAGAAGCTCTTGCGCGGCGCTAAAGCGCCACATGTTGAAAAAGGACCGCCTTCAATCCGTGAAAAAACTGTTGCTAATGTTTTAACAGAATGTGTGCGGCGCTAAGGCGAGAGCCGCCTTGTGAAAACCACCCGCCTTCCATATGTGAAATTGTTGTCACGGCTAAAGCTTCAGGGTCATACATGATGATGAAGTCTCAGGCGAAACGCCTGCCCCGCCCTAAAGCCTGGCCCTGGGGTGCGACAGAGAGAGGAAAAGGGGTGGAAGAGGAGGAGGAGGAGGAGGAGGAATGTGGCACGAGAAGGATGAGGAGGAGGAGGAGGAGGAGGAGGAGGAGGAGGGAGGAGGCAGGATGGGAGGAAGGAAGGAACGAACGATGGCAAGAAGGATGAGAAATCGAGCTTCAGGGGACATGCCATCTTGGGGCCCTCTCGGGGTCCCCGTGAAGCATCGTGGGGCACTGTTAGGGCTCTTTTGGGGCTCTTTTTTAGGGGTATTGATGCCCTCTTGGGGCTCTTTGGGATGACGGGTCTGGGAGGCCTTTTGAGACCGTATTGGCCCTCATGGCTCAAAAGGAGGGGGGTCCTCTGTTCAGGTCCCCCCCCCCCTCAGAGGCTCAAACATGAAATCTTGGGATCCTCTTGGCGCGCTTTTGGAGCGCTCTTGGGGCTGTCTTGGGACCCTCTTGGGCCCCTGGCCGTTTGGGGGTCATTTTGAAGCCTCCGAGGCCCATCGGAAGCCAACAGGCGAGAACGGAAAACAACATTGGTTTGTCTTTGGTTTGGGATGCATTTTAGCCTCTTGGGGAGGTCCTTGGAGAACTCGAGGAGCACTTGGAACCGTCTTGGTGCCGTCTTGAGGCCTCTTGGAGAAACATCGGAAGCTATCTTGACCCATCTTCGAGTATCGTGGGACATTTGGGATGCCATATTGCGCGCTCAGAAGCCCTCTCGGAGCCATCTTGGGCCATCTTCGACGCTCTAACACCTCGAGCCCCACCCCCTCCCAGGCCCAGGGGCCCAGGGGGGGGGGGGGGTAGGGGGAGCAGCAAACCCCTCCCCCGAGCAGGGGAAGAAAGGGTTTTGCCAGAGAATGACAAGAGTTCGTTAAACCATCTACGCCAAGAGGGCTGCTGGGATTTGCTCCGTGTCGGTGGGAGACACCACCAGCTTTCGTGGAGGGGGACCGGGGCCCTGGCCCGCAGGATAATCTCCATCACAATAGGTGCAGCTTTCCGTTCCTTTTTCTTATACAGAACTTTTCCTTGTCGCACACCGAGGCTCGTTTTTAGGGCGGGCCGGGCGTTTCGCCTGAGACGTCCTCACCATTCATGACACTGAAGCTTGAAACTTGGCAACAGCTTCACAGATGGAGGGCGGGCTGTTTTCAAAATGTGGCTCTCGCCTTTGCACGGCGCACATTCGTTTTTTCACGCGGCGCACATTCGTTGTAAAACATGCAAGAGAGAGCTTCACGGATTGAGAGCGGGTGGTTTTCAAGATGTGGTTCTCGCCTTAGCGCGGCGCACATTGTTTGTAAACACATGCAAGAGCTTCACATATTGAGGGCGGGTGGTTTTCAAAATTTGGTTTTCGCTTTAGCGCGGCGCGCTTTCGTTTTAAAAATGCAAGCGTTTCACGGATTGAGGGCGGCCGTTTTAAAAATGTGGTTCTCGCCTTAGCGCGGCGGACATTCGTTCTAACAAAATTGCAAGAGTTTCACGGGTTCCCATCATCAACGTGTCAGAAATGGTGTTTTGAAAAGGTTCAGGGTTATGCGTGTGCAACAATAATGTTGATTCGCTGTGTTGAAATCCCAGGAATGGCGTTTTGGCGCGATTCAGGATCGTCAAAACGCAACAGTCAGGTTGATCCGTGGCGTTGGAATCCCGCGAACGATGTCTTGGCATGCATCAAGGTCTTCGAACGGTTGTTTTCCTACGAGGCGGTTCCCGCAGTGGAAATGAACCCATGTAGGGGCCAATGAAGAGGGAGCTTAGAGTGAGGGTGTATTCCAACATCGTTGATGACTCCTGGGTTTACACTGGTCCTCGTCCTCCTCCTCCTCCTCATCCCATGGCCCATCGCGCCCGGGAAGTGCACCCGTCAACCCTCGTTCCCCCCACTATTTTTCGTTTTCCGCCTCGCGGTCTAATGACAACACCGGTGCAGGTGGATGGAGTCACCAAGAATGGCGGACAGGGCATGCGCATCTCCGAGAAGGACGCCGTCAATATCACCAAGGCTTGATGATCTGCTGTTGATGGTTCCGAAAATTGATTTGGCTTGAGGCCAGGGCCAGCAGGTCGTTGAGCCAGCAGGCTGGAAGCCTCCCTGCCCCTTGCCCCTTGTCCTTACCACCCATTCCAAGTTGACTCACCTTCGGATGAAAAAAACGAGGTCGTTCATAGTGGTGTGAAAATGAAGTTGTTCTCAGAGGGCTGACGGGCTGACTATCTAGGTTCGTGGCGACCTGCCAGAGAGATGTCCCGCTCAACTATGTGATTTTGGAGCTAGCGTCGCCTAGTATGAACTTGCTCGTTGTCTTTGTATGTCTTCCTGTCAGTTTCATGCAGCAGAACCTGCTTCATGACTACGGCGATACGCATTGCTCACGGCACCGCGTATACGAAGAGCCACCCTCGCTTGTGGTGAGTGCTCGCTCGTGGCGAGTTCTCGCACCCACTGATCTATTGCGGCCTTCTGCCCATCTCGCTACCTCGTCTGGGTCGTGAACCGGAGAGGCCTCTTGGGGCCTCTGGGAGCTTCTTCGGCCCTTTGGGAGCCTTTTGGGGGTTTCGGGGGGACTTCTTCGGAGCCTCTCGGAGAGTTTCGGATCAATCTTAGGGGGGAGGCTTCCAGCGGTCCCGCGCTGGCGCTCTCTCTGGATCCCCTTTGAGGCCATCAGGGAGGCCTGTTGGGCCCTTCTGAGGGTCCCCTCGGGGCGGTCTTGGGGTCATCTTGGCCGTCTGGGACACATGTTCACGGTGAAAAGACGAACATGTCAAATTCATTCACATGCAAGGATGCCTGCGCGTGGACCCCCCCACACACAATTCTTCGTGCAGCAAGCGCACTCCTCGTATGAAACGCTGCGTGAGGAGCCCCATGTGCGAGAAACGCTATGTGTGTGGATCCAGCTTCGCCTGCGTGGAACTCCATGTGCGTGGAGCACCGTGCATCTGTGTTCCTATGCGCGTGTGGATCCCGCGATGCGTGGAACTTCTTATCCTCACCATGTGGAGCATGTGGGTTTCTATGCGCGTGGGGATCCCGCGATGCGTGGAACTTCATATCCTCACCATGTGGGGCCCCACGAGCGCGTGGAACGCTACGCCGTGGGGATCCAGGCAGCCATCAAAAGACGTGCGGCGCAGTGGGCCCAACCGGCCACCACAAAATAGTACGGCACCCAAGGCACACGGGGCGGGAAGCCGCATGGATCCGTGGTGAGCCACGCCGCAGGGACCCGAGCAGCCACCGGGGCAGGGCGTGGCACTCCGCAAGCGCACGAGGAGCCCAGTGGCAAAGAGGAGAGACGACGACAGACGAGGGGACGACACGACGGAGGGGGGAGGGGGAAGGGGAAGGGGGGGGAGGAGGAGGAGGAGGAGGAGGAGGAGGAGGAGGAGGAGGAGGAGGAGGAGGAGGAGGAGGCGCGTTGGACAGGGTGTGGCACACAGCGCGGTGGGACGGGAAGCTGCAGGGACCCAAGCGGAGCCCCTCGCAGGGTGCGTGTGGGTCGGGCGGAGGGCAACGGGGGGGCAACGAACGTGTGGGCATCCGCGAGCGCAGGGAAGTGGCACTCGAGGAGCCCCGGACGGTCTCTAAGCTGCCATCTTGGTACGAAGGGTGCACGCCGCTTCACCCCGCTTGTAATCGTTGCCCCCCGTTCGCGAACACACGGGGGCGGGAAGCCGCAGGGCTCCACAGGGATTCGGGCAAAAGGGTCCAAGCAGTCACCTGAGGCAGCTCGGCACACTTCTTCACATCACCAGTACGAGCCCCTTCGGTGGAGAATCTTAGGTTTTTGGACGTCTTGGGCCTCCTGGGCCGATCCCCAGGGTCTCCAGGACGGCCAAGAGACACTCGATACGATTCCATGATATCTAGGTTCCAGGGAGCATCTGAGGACTCGGAGCGTGTAGGTTCAAGACTACGTTTCCGAGGCCTCGGAAGAAATAACGTTGCGAATTCCGAGAGCGCCCAGGAGACTTGTAAGTTTAGGGTCGGAGGCCGAGTCGTCCAATATTCAGTTTAGGCTCTGCGGTGCTTAAGGGCATTCCACCACGTGCCAGTGAACAGTAGCGGATGTGTCAGTTTTGAGTGTGGTTTTTTATGTTCTGCAGCTCTACGTAGGTCCAAGAAATTGTTGGGCGCTGTGCGTTGTACCCCTTGTCTGCTTTTTGTGCGAGGTTCAATTGTTGATGCTTCGCGTATCCCCACCTGCTTTAGTCGCGGCCGCGGCCCGCCCGCGACCTCCCGCCGCTGGCGCTTCCGCCTGCGGCTGTAAAAGAAAAAGTATCCCCACCGGCCCATCCAGGAAAATGCCCAGGCGACGTGTCTTGATTAAGGAATTGTAGGGGTATGCATTGGGACAAAGAAAGGTGGGACAGCCGTTCATTCGACGCTCGTCAGCCTGAGCAGACCCAGGAGTGAATGATATATGCCTTCACGCTTTCACGCTTTCGAAGGAGGAGGGAGAGGGATGAGGCGGAGAAGGAGGAGGAGCAGGATGAACGAGAACACGCGTATGGCTGAGGGGAGGAGGGAGGAGGATAGTAAAGGAGGAGGAGGAAGAGCAGAAGGATAAGGGCGAGCTGAAGGAAGAGGAATTTGACGGAGCATGTTCCCATCCAATGTCAGGCAAGTTCAAGGTTAGAGGAGGGGAGTCAGGAGGAGGAGGGGTTTGGGGAGGAGAATGGCGACAACGACGGCGACAAGAGTCAACCAGACAGGCCTTCGCAGATCTGTCGTTCCCTTGGGGACCTTGGGGTGGCCTGCTGGAGCCAGCCTGAAGGCCATCGATCAAACAAAGGTGCGGCACTAAGTCGAACACCTCCGTCGGATAACGACGAACACCTTCTTGGGACAATATTGGGCTCTCTTGGGCGATCGTGGAGCCATAGTGAGGCCCAAAAGATAATTGAAAGGGAAAAGGCGAGAGCGTACACACTAGATGTTCTCGCTGTTAACCACCTCGTGTTTTTGAGCGCTTTAGGATTCCCGGCTGGCGTCCAGGAGGGCCGCGTTGCCACTTGGAGCCGCCTTGGGGCCTCATGATGGCATGCTGGAGGCCATCTTTCCGCATCTGGGGTTATCCAGATCCCATGGGATGGGCAGGTAAGAGGAAGGGAAGGGGGCGAGGTGGATTGGAAGAGGAAGCGCACTAAACCACCAACGACTAGAGGACTGGTGGGACTATGGGTGGTCGGTTGGGCCAATGCGGGCGCACACTCTCTCACGCCCGCACGCACGCGCGCGCGCACGCACGCACGCAACACACACACACACTCACCGCCATAGTTTTAATTTTGGTGGCACTTCCGTGGCGGCTGTGTGCGGTCACGGCACGTGGATTGGCCAGAGAAGGTTGGCGGGTATCCAATACCATCTGGTTGCGGGGTGGTGGTATGCTGATGGCCCTTCCAATGGGAGCGATGTGTAGACGCATCAGCGCACATGTCTCGCGCACTCTCTGGCTACACACTGGCACACCGAGTGCCTGCCCCTAGCTCTGTTTTGCTTCTCCGCTACTTGCCCTCGGCATATGTGGTTGGCCATTTGCACAACTTGCATTCTGCTTGGAGGCTTTCGATGTGGTGGCGGAGTGTTTAGCCGCGGATGTGGGCGGCGCAATTGAATGTTAAGGTCTGCCCATTGGGAATAGTAAAGTTGCAGGCAGCGGCAGGTACATGCACTGACAGTGCAAAGCGAGATTTGACAACATGTTGAGCGCGCTTCTGGAGCTTGCACGCATTGACTTTGCAGTGTCTGCCATGTTTGGCCAGCTCAAGATGTTGATTCATGGTTGCTTCCAGGAACGTCCCCTATTCTGCATTCTGACCATCTGTGACCCTGCGACCCCCCCTAACCGGGATCACCCCGGATCCTCGGCCCCGGGGGCACCCCGTACGCCCCTGCAGGCGGCCCCCTGTGCTTTCCACGGCTCCTGAAGCCCCTGCTGGGCCCCGGCAACGGGCCCAGATCGGTCAGGAGGGCAGCCGAATGGCCCCGCGGCAGCCCACAGAGGCCCCAGACACCCACCAGACGCCCGAAGACGACCCAAAGAAGACCCCCCAAGAGGCAATCGAAACGTCAAGAGCATTGATTTCCGATGGCTGTTGCATGATTTGGGGGATGCTCTGCTGTTCAGTCTTCTGGGCGTTCGAAACCGCCCAGGAGGCCAGATAATCGCCCCAAATTTAACCAAGAGGGCTTCCAGGCAGTCCAAGAGTAGCCCCATGACGGCCCAAGATGGCCCCAAGACGCCCCCCCGAATCACCCAAAATTGTGACCAGGTCGTTCAGGGAGACTACGGTTGGAAGCAGGGTGGCCCAGGGAAGCCCCCAGAGACCCACAAAAGAAAAAGAAACCCAAGAGGCCCAGGAGGCCTCCAGAAGGCCCCAACAAGCCCTGAAATCTTTCCGTGAGGCCCCCGAGGGGCTCTCTGGATTAGGATGAGCCTCGGCAAAAAGAGCTGAGGATGGGGACGAACTCGCAGGGTAGGACTAGAACGAGGGAGAGGAAGAGAAAGCATGAGGGAAGGATAACGAATAACGTCATTACAACGACGATGCCGTAAAAGACAATGATTAATTGTTACATGTTCCGCCTTACTGGATTGCTTTCTTGCTTGCATGCCAAACCTCAAGGACCAAAGTGCACGGCGCGAAGCGCCAATGCTGCAGTCTTGTATGTACACATATACATACATACGTGTACATATATATATATATACACGCACGCTGTGCTAGCGCCTTGACGCGTAGTGAGACCAGCGTTGCTCATCTGTGGGTATGTACGGAGACGCACGTGAGCGCGTACGTACAAGTGAGCGCACACGCGAGCACAAGCGCTAGCAAGCGCGTGCAGTCGCACACAGAGCAAACTCATATAACACATATATGTGTTTGGGCTAGCAGGGTGCAGCTCGCATCGACGTGGTCACTCCTCCCTTGCAGCTCGATCAGTGGGGCGACTTGCGCAATCGAGCTTTGATTTCGTGCGCCGCGCATGATGGTCCAGTTGTTGAAGCGTAGGCCCTGCCATGCAGATAGCCATCGAATCACCACGTTGTACTGGTCCCTGCCTCTCATACATGCGCAGTCCGAATCCTAATCCACATCCTTCGTTGCTTCCCCTTCCCTCTTCCCTCCCTCGATGCTTCCCCTCCCTCCTCCCTCTCCCTCCTTCGATGCTTCCCCTTCTCCCTTCCCTCCCCCTCTCCCTTCGATGCTTTCCTCCCCTCCTCCCTCTCCCTCCTCCCCCCTTCGACACTTCCCTTTCCCTTCCCTCTTCCCTCTCTCTCCTTCAATGCTTCTCCGTCCCTCTCCTGCTCTCACATCTCGTCTTCCCCCCTAATCCCCCCGAAAGCAGCGGGCGGCGTCCACGATCGAGCAAGATCGGCGGGAGAGGTCAAGAGTCCTGCTTTTCGACTCGCGCCGATGTGGCGTACTGGCGGTGACTTCGGCTGTGGTGACAGAGGGACCTGCCGCCAGAATTGGGCCTGACTGCGCAGCATGGTGCGTGAGTGTGTAATTTGACTGGCCGCGTTGCCGCGCACCGGCCTGCGGATGCAACGTATGCGATTTGAGGCTTGCGACGGCGTCTGCGATAGCAAACAGACATGTAATCAAATTGCCTGCGGCAGATCTCGCCACCGTGCCAGCGCAGCAGCGCAGCAGGGGGGAGGTTGAGTTTAAGAGCAGCTCCAGTCCAGCGCCCTGTCTGAACTTGCGCGGGCCTGAAACACCCTATTGGAAGCATATTGGAGGCCTATTGGTGGCCTATTGGAAGCATGTTGGAGGCCTATTGGAAGGCCTGTCCCTCTCGGAAGCATATTGGAGGCCTGTTGGGGGCTTCCCTGGGGCTCCTTGGGAGCCCGTCGCGGGTCCCGGGCCGTCTTCACGCGACGGTTCTACTGTAGCTCTCCCGAGGAGGCTCAGTTGAAGCATCTTGGAGATGTCTGTGCGGATCCTTTTGGACTCTCTTGGGGGCGCATGGGGTCTTCCTGTCGCCTTCCCTGGGCGATCCGAAGCCGAAAAGACGCGGCTGTGGGGAACACAATGTTTCTCTGTGATCTTCATTGTTTGTGCCTCTGCGGGCATCGCTTGATGCCTCGGAGGGCGACTCTTGGCGGCTGCTTCCTGAGGCCTCATCTCAGAGCCGTTGTGGGTCGTCGGGCCGTCTTGAGCTGATCTTGGGACATCTCATATCCGTCTTGGAGCGGTATTTCGCCGTCTTGTACCGCTTGGAGGCCGAAGAAAGTGTCAGAGAGTAAAGTTAAGAGATCTCGAACCTGATCTGCTAGTGCTGGGGGGGGCTTCGAAAACTACAGGAACCGTACTAGTCGACTAACAAGCGTTCTAACACTCGACTACTGTGTAAGCACGGTGGCGGATTTGAAGCGGTTGCTCGAAATTGGGCGACGCGAAGTCAGTAGTAGATTTCGCGAGGTCCCCGCCGTCACAGTCCGTGCAGTTCAGCCGATGCGAGTAGCCAGCTGATGCTCTGAGGAGAGCTCCGCTCCGCCCAGTGAGGGAGTCCCCTCCTCCTTTTCCTGCCCCTCCTCCTCAATGCGCGATTGGGCCAAGCAGTTTGCCATGAGCGACGTATACCTCTGCGAGGCTGCTTGGCCAGGCGGTTGGCTCGTGTTTGGCGGGCTGGTTTGGCCCAGCGGCCGCCATGTAGAACAAGTGGGGGGGGAGAAAAGAAGCAAGAGCGGGGCGAGAAAGAGGAATAACATAACGGGAAGGAGGCAAGCTGGTGCAGCCCCGATGGGGAAACATCAGCGTGCGAGCAGATGCATGCGCGACGTGAGTGGAAGTTTCGATCAGTCGAGTGTTTCGTTAGACCACTGCGTTTCCAACATTCAGACCATGTGGGGCGCGAAGGTGGGCTTGCACGGGCTTCGATGGAGCAAGAGATTTGAGCGATAGTGAGTCAGTTGGTTCTGACCAGGGGGAGGACGACGACGAGACGGAAGATCGAACAAGACCTGTGACGAAGGCACGTTGCTATGCGACGCATGTTGCATGCAACGCCGTGCGACGAGCCATTCGTCGTAGCGCCAGCGATCTACAAATCCTTCGGAAGTCACCGTAATAGTTCGCGCTATTTCGGGAGCCATCGTTCACACGGTCGAGGGCGCTCGCTTCTACATCGCACGTTTATACGAACGTTACATGTTCTTCCGATCGCCGTTGCCTCGCGTCCGTCGGGCGATTTTCTTCCGCGTCAGCAGCTGCATGTAGATGTCGGCCGCGCATCGCGGTTGGGCTGAAGAGAAGGCTGTGATGGAGCTCCGTCGACTGCGGGAAAAAAACACTTCGATTGTGTACCCATTTTGCCAGATGGTGAGCATCGACTGGTCGGGATGGAAGCAACCTTTCCGGGCAATCTGAGCGGGCTTTGTTCCCAGGCATCGAGAGCGGACAGAATTGCGCATGCAGTAGTGCAACGGGTTTGATGGGTGACTGCATTTGGACGGCCATGCGTCGAGGTATTCATTGAGCAGTGGAGGCGGCAGGCATGCACGGTTGCCTCTAGATTCAGGCTCTCGCAGCAGACGAGATCGGATTGGTCTTCGGTGTTTCTTCTTGGTGCTGATTTTCGTCTGACATCCTTCGCTTCTCCGCAGTAGGGTCGGTCCTCAATCCAACCCAGACCCCGTTTCTTTATTGCTTGGGGCATGACGGGTGTCACGGCCCCCGCTCCCCCCCCCTATGACGTAACGCTCCCCCCCCAGTGCGCTCCAGGCACTGCCGCCGTGCGCGTTGGGATCCGCGTAGGTGTCCGCGTAGGAATCCGCATAGGAGTCTGGTCCGCAGTCGTCGTCATCGTCGTCGTCGTCATCGCTCGTGGCTCGTCGCTCGTCGCTCGTCGTCGTCGTGCGCACTGACGAGGCTGGAGCATGCTTTTTATTCCGGGTCGATGACGTCACGTTTCGCGCCGGCGGCGTCTGGAAATTCCTAGGAAAGACGGATGACGGGTACCACCAGCATGTAGGTGGCGATCTGCACCTCAACGCCTGTGGACACCACAGTGCCTGCGTGCACCACAGCGCCTGTGTACACCACATTGCCTATGTACACCACAGCATCCGCGCACAACACAGCGTCAGTTTGTGCCACCGCGCCTGCGGGCACAACAGCTGTTGTGTACACCACAGCGCCTGCGTACACCACATCAGCCGTGCGCAACACAGCACCAATGTACACCACAATGCTTGCGTGCATTGCAGTGCTTGCGTACACCACGGCGCCTGTGTGCACCACAGCAACCGTGTGCCACACAGCACCACTGTTGTACATAGAATGTTTGATTGAATCCTTATGACAAAATGGAGCGCTTGTGGATTCCATAGAAAGCGATAGAAAGGGTTCTTTATGGACAAAGGAGCGCCGCTGGAATCTACGCGTCCTCCCGAGTCCGCCCGAATCACTTTAACTCCTCCCATCTGCGCCCAGGAAGCTCCAACTAAATTGGCCGTGCGAGAACCAACTGGACCGATTCAATAGACCTTTCTGCGGTGCACGCTGAGATGTGCACGTGCGCTACAGCGCCAACCCGCACGACAGGGGGTGAGGAGGAGGAGGGGGAGGGGGAGGAGGAGGAGGAGGAGGAGGAGGTGGAAGTGGAGGAAGAGGGAGAGTGAATAACGTCACATTCGATTACCAGCACTTTCCTGCACGCAGGCATTGTGATGTACACTAGCGCTGCGTTGCACGTGGATGCTGTGGTGTAGACAGGTGCCGTGGCGTGCACAGGCGCTGCGGTGCACGCAAGCATTGTGGTGTACACAGGCGCTGTGTTGCACATGGTTGCTGCGGTATGCACATGTACACCAGCGCTGTAGTGTACGCAAGCATTGTGGTGTGCACAGGCGCTGCGTTGCACACGATTGTTGCGGTGTGCGCAGGCGCTGTGGTGTACACGCGCGCTGTGGTGCACGCGAGCGTTGTGGTGTACACAGGCGCAGTGGGGCATATCGTCACCTACATGCTGCTCGCGTCGTCGTCGTCGTCGTTCGTCGTCGTCGTCGTCGTCGCTCGTCTCTCCTCGCTCGTCGCGTCGTGCGCGCGGGCGCGGCTGCGGTGCCGGAGCTACACGGCGGGGGGGGGGGCGTTGCGTCATACCCCCCCCGCACCCCCCCCCATGACGCCCGTCATCGCCGAACCTACAGAAACGCGCTCCCAGTATCCCCACCGCCCGCCAGCGTCGCGCAGTGCGTGTGATTAAGCGCTTCCCCAGAGTCCTAAGGGGAGTGGACCACAGCCGACTCGCGTTCGCGTCGAACGATGCGCATGGGATCCGTTGTCTGAGGCACCCGATCGTCTGTCCGCTGCTCGCAGCGTACTTCACGAGCCAAGCAGTGTGACCTCATGCGTCGGTACCTGCGTGCAGGATCAATCGATTTGCGATCAATGGTTTCACAGTGGTCGGCTATATGGCCAGATCAGATGTGCTGTGCTAGCCGCAACCGCATCAGCAAAGCCAACAGAGGCCTCCAGAGGCCTCCCAAAATGCAATCCTTCATGACTAGTACGAACCCCTTTTATGCTGATGCGTACGTATTTGGGGAGCATGCGTGTTTGCACGATGGGTTCGTCGTGCAGTCGAAAGACGGACTTAATGTGCCCTCAATCCTGCAAGTCTGCAGGGTGGGGTCTGTTTGGCAGGATAGTTGCCCGTCCGAGCATGCGCACGGCCAGCTTCGTGAGGAGCTCAGGTCAGCCTGCCTTGTCGTGCTGAGATCGCTCAGGCTCGCACACCTCGTGATCCCCCTTCTCTCTGCATGCCTCTCCTCCTCTGCATGCCTCTCCTCCTCGTGATCCCCCTTCTCTCCTCCTGCGCGCGATGGGGGGGAAGTGAGAAGGAGAAGGCCTCCTCAGAAGGTTCGGAAGTCCCCCGACCTTCTGAGAAGTTTTCTAAGCCTTCCCCGAAGACAGAATCACTTCTCAGAAGGCGCGAGGGCTTCTGAGAAGTCCCGCCGCCTTCTGAGAAGGTCCTCCCCTTCTCGTTTCCCCCCCTCGCTCGCCGCCGAACTACTCTTGCACGCATGCGGGCTTCGCGTGTGGCGCTGCCGCCGAGCTTCGTGCACCCATGCCCGGCGCTGCAGCCCGTCCTCCAGCCGAAGCCCGCCCAGTGGACAGGCCGCGCTGCGACCACATGCCTCCCGCCTCGGCCAGATGAGCTTCCGAGGCGACCCCGGGAGAGGTAAAGACAGGAGCGGGCGGGGAGGAGGGCAGCGGCTCACAGGAGGAAAGGGTGCCCACACCTCTGCCCTTCGGCCGCTTTCCCCTTCTTGGGGCCTCCTGGGCCTCCGTCGTCGCCACCGCTGGGTTCGCCTCGAAGTCCTGGTCAGAACGCACCCCAGGAGAGGTCTGGGGAGTAGCGGTCTCGGTACCTCTTGGTTTCCCCAGGAGCAGACGGGGAGGAGGGCAGCGGCAAAGGCGGGTCAGAAAAAACTCGGTCAGGCTGCACTCGGTCAGGCAGACTTCGGCGTGGCAGGCCTCGGCCAGGCGGACCTCGGCCGGGCTGAACTCGGCCAGGCGGGCCTCGGCCAGGCTGACCTCGGCCAGGCCGAGTTCGGCCCGGGCCGAGTTCGACCTGGCCGAATTCAGCCTGGGCGAGTTTCGCTCGGCAGAGTCTTGCCCTTGTCGGGGGAGGACAGGGAGGAGGAGGAGGGGGAGGAGGAGGAGGAGGAGGAGGAGGAGGCGGAGGAGGAGGAGGACAAGGAAGAGGAGGAGGGGGAGGAGGAGAGCCCCCCGTGTAGGTTCTGAAAGGCTGGGGCTTCCCGCAGAGAGATCGGCCGTCCCCCGGGGTGGAGTCTGGGGCCACCACATGTTTCGGGACGACACGAGGGCGGTCAAGGTTTTAGGGTTTGCGACAGGTCGTTTGAACCCGCGCCGCCGAGTAGACTCGTGCCATTCGCGCAGCGAGCCAAATTCACACAGGACACTACCATCGTCAAGGTTTTGGCATCGCTTGTTGGGCAAATCCTTCCTGCCTGGGTGCTAGAGGCCTTTGGAGGCCCCTAGAGGCAGATGGAAGCCCGCAGGGTCCCAATGAGGCGTAATCCAGGGACCTCTGGAAGCAGGGGCTGTGGTGAGAGGAGAGGGCGGGGGCTGGAAAAACGCACGAATGGTGACATAAATGTAGCCACTGTCTGGGAACAGCATTGGCAACTGTGCTTGTGGCTGGATATCGAAACTCTCGTATTAATTCGTTGGCGTCGCCATTGTGACCGCGAGTATCGTCATCGCCATCGCCGCTGACATGCACGCCCATCTTCTCATGTTCTGCAGCTTTTTCGGCACTGGCACTTTTCTGCACTAGCAGCTAGTTGGCGCGTGCTTAAGGCGGACACGCGCAGTGCGTCTGACTGCTGGCATGTCTGCCGCGAACCAGAAGAACGTTATTGGCGCCGTGGCTGCCGCAGTGCTGGTGGCCCGTCTCAAGGACGCCCGCTTGGTTCCGAGGCCCATGATGCCCCCACGCCTTTGATGGCAAGGGGACCTAGGAGTAGTCAAACAGACTTAGAACGGGCAAGAAGAGCACCTTGAACTCTGTTAAAACGTGTGCCATCTCTACACCACTGTATATAACAATATTTATATATAGGTGGTAATATATGCATATAACCCTTGTCTCGCCCCGGTCAGGCCCGGAGACGAGCAAGATCGCCAGTCTCGATTGAACTTCGAATGCTCTATGGCCTGGCCTAGGACTGTTTGGCTGCTCTTTGGGGCGCGGGAGCATCACGGCCGCGAGGCTGATCTTGGAGCCCGACGGCTCCGTGGGTGGCACCGTCAAGATTTGGACCTCGGCTCTCGCCATCGGCCGCCCGAAAGCTGAGGGATGGCCCCAGGGGAGGCCCGAGGAGGACGAGGAGGATGAGAGCGAGGAGGACGAGGAGGAAGAGAACGAGCAGGACGAGGAGGGAGAAGAGGAGGAGGACGAGGAGGAAGGGGAGCTCAGGGGAGCACATGGGGCGCAGCCGCGGGCCGGGCGCCAGGAAGCCCGCCCGCGGCGAGCAGGTGCCCGAACGGCCCAAGAGACCTCCAGGACGCTCCAAGGGGCCCCCAAGAGGGCCCCAAGATGCAAAAGTCGCTGCGTCCCCGTAGGAAAAGGTTTATGTTTAGCACGTTCGCCCCTTGACCTTTCACAGCGTCCAAGACGGCCCCAGAGGCCCCCAAGATCGCCCCAAGAGGGCCCAAGAGGCCCCCAAGAGGGTTTCGAAACCGGCCGAGAGGCTTCGGATTTTGCCACGTGTTCGACAAATTCCGGATCCTAATCCCGCCGCCCATCGAGTTGCTTGAATCGCTGATCGGCGAGAGCAGGTTTTTAGGATGTCGCCGCCTACAGAAAGGGGACGAGGAGGAAGAGGACAGGCAGGAGAGATCGAGTGAGAAAAGACTGCATACCCATGAACTTTCGGAGCTCCGCGCGAATTTCTTGGATCAGCGCTGGGCCCTCCTGACGGCGCCTCCGGCGCTGCCCCTGTCAGTCAAGGGGGCCCAGCGCGGGTCCAAGAAATCCGCGCGGACCTCCGAAAGTTCATGTGTATGTCGGTTTCTGTTCCTCTGGGGGGAGACGGAGGCCACGTAGAATCAGGAGGCGTTGGGTGCAACGATCGACAGGTCTCCTTTGCAGTCGACCTCCCGTGTGGACCCATCCAGGCCCCGGGCCCCCCCTGGGCCACCCCTGGGCATTCGGTTGGCCAGCATCTACGGGTACGAGAAGGTCGTGGCAGCAATTCTTCGGAGGCTCGGCTTGACGAAGGTACCCTCGACGCTGGCGGCGATGCTCAGCCTCTTCTCGATCCTCCGCAGCGCCCAGAAGGCCAAGGGGAGAAAGTTCTCCGACGAGCTCTCCGCGCTGCTGAAGCCCGGCGTCGACTTCCTCGGCAAGTGGATGGGGCTCTTCCTGGCGCCTCCGCTCGTGTCCCTGGACGCCTCCATCGCGGCGCTGCCGCCCTACCAAGGCGCCGTCTGGGGCAACGCCGTCGCGCTGCTCTCCACGGGCTGGGCGGCGACCCACTCGGCCGCCGCAGCGGTGGCCTCCAGCCTGGTGCCCCAGCGCCCCGCGGCTCCCAAGGCGGGAGCGGCGGCGGCGGCGGCGCCTGCCGCCGGCGGCGCAGCCGTCGGGGCCGCAGAGGCGGTGCCCCAGGATCGGCTGCACGTAGGAGAGGCCCTTCGCCGGGGTGGCCGCTGGTGCGGGCCCGCTGGAGTCCCCACAGACATCCGGCGTATCGATCCAGTCGAGACGGCAGTTTTCCATAGTTTTGCGGCCTCGGGGGGCCTTCGCCGGGCCTCGGGGCCGCCGAGAAACGACTCGGGACGAAAAGCCGGGTCGAGAGGACGTGGTCAATGGGTCGGGGGCCCGTGCCTCAAGCAAGTCGAGACGCCGGACGTCTGGGCCCCCAGCACCTGGCCAGCGCGCGTGGGTTCGGCCTGCCCGCGGCCCCCGAAAGCCGCGCACCAGGTGCCACTCTCTTGCCCAGGGGTCGCTCTCGTGTGCGGTCGACAGGAGGAGGCCGTGCGGCGCGCCTGGGTCTTCTTGGGGGCGCTCGGCTACCTCGGGGTCTCTTGCTCGCCCCTGCTGCCTCCGGTCCTCCACAGGCCGGTCGGGATGCTCTGCGAGCTGAGCACCACGGTGGGCTCCATAGCCCTGTCCAAGCTGCTGCCCGGGTCGGTGACGAAGGTGCTCCACCCGCTGGTGATCTGTGCGGTGTCCTCCAACATGGCCTCGCGCTTCGCGGGCTCGGCGGCTCCCTACCGGGACGGCGGGCGCGGAGTGGGAGATCGTCTGTTCCAGTGGCTTCCAGCCGCCGTCACAGGTCTGGGCGTCAGGATGTACAACACCACCGACAAGTGGCTCGACAGCCCAGATGATTTCAAGTGCGTGCTGGCAACCTGTGGCGCATCGGGCTGCTTCTCCATCCTCCTCACTACGGCGGGCGCGCTCTCCCAGCACTCGCCGCTGAGCGTGCCCGCCCCGCTTGCGCTGCCGATGCTCCACCGCTCGGTCATGTCCGCGCTGGGCATTGAAGGCTCGATGGCCATCGGCCCAGAGTGCGATCCGCAGCTGGCTGTCGCCTCCATCCTCATCACCGGGTGCATCGGCGCCTCCCTGGGAAACACCTTGCTCCGCGCCGTGCCGCAGGTCTTCTGCGCGGATTCCGCGCTGGTGCGAGGCGTCGCCATGGGATGCTCCGCGCACTCCATCGGCACGGCCGGGCTGATCTCCGAGGGCGACACCGACGCGGCGGCCATCTCCGGCGCCTCGATGTGCCTCGCGGGCACCATGCACACGCTGGTGCTCTCCCTGCCGGGCGTCGTGCCCATCATTCGTGCAGTGGCTCGGCTCCCCGCGGCGGCGTGACGACGCGGCGGCCATCTCGGGCGACGCGATGTGCCTTGCGGGCGCCATGCACACGCTGGTGGCTCGGCTGCCCGCGGCGGCGTGAGGGCGGCTATAATTCGGGGCCGGACCTCGGCGTGGCCCTTCTCATCCATTCGCTTGGCCAGTCCTTTCTTATGTCGGTTCGCCTGTCTGCCCCTCACATGGCCCCTGCCTGCGTTCCCCACCCAGGTCCCCCTTTCCATCACTCGAAGAAGAAAAAAGGCACAAGCATAAATTGTGGGCGCTCCGCGCGGATCTCTTGGATCCGCGCTGGGGCCCCCTGGCGGCGCCTCTGGCGTCGCCCCTGGCGCGCTCCGCGCGCCAGGGAGGGATCCAAGAAAGCCGCGCGGACCTCAAACAAAGTATGCTTATGCCGTTTTTTTTCATCCTCTAACCCAGGTCCTCTTTCCGTCACTGCTTTCCTCTCAGTTGATCCCCTTTCAAGCAACTGGCCACGTCCGTCACTCCCCTCCTCCGCGCACGTCTGTTTTTCAACGCCCCCCACCTGCCGCATCGCGGGTCCGCTTGGTGGACTTGTTGCAGGCTTCGATTTTAATTTCTCCGGAAGAACTGGATATCGTATGTGTGGGCGAATCGGCGGGCATGGCTCAATAGCCAGCGTGGCTGCTATCGCCGCTTCCATGTGCACTCGCGGCGGCGCTGACAAACAAGTCAAGCGTGTGCCCCCGGGAAGCTCGAGCGTGCACCCCGCGGCTCGCCCTTGCGACGCTGAGCTTTCATACAGACATGATCTCTGTCGGGCGTACTGCCCGTGCGCGCAGGGCGGAAGAAAACAAAGAGGAGGCCAAGTAGAAGCAGGAGCATGCGGAGGGTCCTCCGACTTGCCCCAACAAAAAATCGCAGCGTGCTAAGGTCAAGCACGTATCTCATTCTGGGGAGGCTCCCCCCGCGATCCTGGCTAAGGATAAGCCATGGACAGCTGAAGATGAGCGTCGCCCGAAAGACACGCTCTCGTCGGAGGGCCCCACGCACGGACGCACGGAAGCCGGCCCTCGCACAACCTGTCACGAGTCCTGGTGTTTAGTTGTTGCAAATTGTCTGGCTATTGTTGGTGACCCTCGGCATCATGGCAAGGCGTTTCTCGAGAAAGCAGTGCGGGTGGCGCCTGGAGTGCTCGATCTTGTTCGTAACTTTCTTTCTCGCGGGCGGGCGAGCGGAGCTTGAGATGCTCGCCAAGGTGAAAGAGAGAAGAGGTGCACGGATGTTCAGGCCCCAGAGCGCGCACTGGCAGCGTGTCGGCTGCATGGGGAAATCGTGGGAGATCGCAGCAACGGAAGCGAAGGCCATCCTTTCGGGCGTTCAATGCCTGCGTCAAGACGGGGGGGAGATCTCCGGCGGAAGGCCTCTGCGCCAGGCGCTCAGCAGTGCTCTGCGGAGGCGGTGGGGGGCGCGGCCCACGGCCGACGGCTGGCCGGCCGGAGCGGAAGTCTGCCGAGCAGGCCGAGCGAGCCTCCGGGGAGCTCGGGTCGGCCGAGAAAGCGGGTCCTGATGAGGATGGCCTTGTCCTCCTCTGTTGGACGTCGCATCGTCAGCGTTACTGCCAGCTTGGTTTGATTCCGCCGCGGCCAGCTTGGCTTCATGTCGGCAGGCTTGTCGCACAAGTCGCTGATATCATCTTGGTCCGGGCCGAACACACTCTGGTTCCCTCCTTGCCACTCAACCAGGCCGGATGCCCCGCTCAGCTCAGTCCAGCCAGCCCACGCAGACCAGCTTGGCCATCCTTCTCCAAGCGCGTGCCCTGGGAGGACTCTGCAGTGCTGGTGGCCCCTCCTGCGGCTCCCAGCGGGATCGGTGGCAGCAGATTCTCCAAGTGACCCACGCGCCCCACACCCTACTTGCGGTCAAGGGCCCTCTCATCGTTGGCACGGCAGGGGTGATTGGAGGAGCGGGGGGAAGGGAGGCGCTTTTAGTTTTGATCGAGGCCTCGTCTACCCCAATGCGAATGCAGCGTGGCGCGCACAGGCAGCTGGAAGGAGGATCACATCCTGGTGTGTATATATATATATATATGTGATGGAGAAAGAGAGAGAGAGAGAGAGAGAGAAAAAAAAGAGAGAGAGAGAGAGAGAGAGAGCGAGAGAAAGAAAGAAAGAGGGAGAACAGAACAAGAAAGAGAAAGACAGGAGCTCTTGGGCGCACTCTGACCGTGCCTCGGGGCAGCCAGCGGACCTTTGTGGGTCTGAGAGCGTGGACAGAAGTATAATGCAATGCTCCGAGCATGAGGACGGTTTAGGAGGAGGAAGGAGAGGTCCAGTGCAGCAGTCGCGCTCGGCCGGTTGGGGCATCGGCGCCGAGATGTTTGCCAGGGGCACGCCGGCCATGACAAACAAAAGGCCATGGAGGAGCCCCGAAGGACAGGCAGCGGTGACAGGTTTCGCGCCCTCCCGCCCATGGAGGATGAGGCCACAAGACGCCCCTGGCAGTTCGGACGGGCGGGAAAGGGGGGGGCGAGCGTGGGGGGGGGTCGAGGGCCGCAGGAGAGAGGCCCCGAGGGGGCCCGAGGCAGCGTCTGGACTGCCACCGCGGGCGCAAGAGGTGCGCGGAGGGTGCACGCTTCTTCACTCCACGTGCAGATTGCCCCCCCGTCGACGAGCACCCGGGGAAGGCAGGATGCTTGTGGGGATCGCTTTTGTGATTCATTTAATCGCTTCGCTCATGCCGCCGGCCCTGGAGCCCTCTTTAGGGCCTCTTGGGGGCCTCTTGGGGACCTCTTGGGCCTCTTGGGGGCCTCTTGGGGGCCTCTGGCCCGTTGGGCCGGCGAATTCATTGTTCTGCCGATCGGCGCGGGTCCTCGCACCCTCCACCTCCCCCCCCCTCGTGGAGCAGATCTTGGCTGATTCGGGGCGCCTGTTTCGAGAGGGTGGAGTCTTCCCCACGTAGGACGCACTGCTGCAAACAGTCGCACTAAGCAGAGGTCCGGAGCCAGACCCCCCCCCCACCCTCCCCCCCTTCCGCCCAATGTCGAAACGCCGAATAAAAAGACGCTCACAATGTCGGCGGACATGGAGGAGCCGCGCGGGGCTCAAGCCCTACGCCTGGGCTCCTATGCGCTGCGACATCAGAGGGAAGGGGACGGGAAAGTTCTCGGGGAAGTGGAGCCGGGTGTTCAGTGCAGAAGAAGGAGCAGTAGGTCAAGGCCCGCAGAGGGCGTTATAACGCATGGAGAAGAGATGCTGCTCCAAGACCGAGCTGCGCCAAGGAGCGGGAAATCAAAAGCGAAGGCTGCTGGCAGGGAGTCCCGGCAGACATGCGACAATTGCAATGGGTGGGTATCTCGGGAGCTTGAATGACGCCAATGGGGAATGGCAGGCTCCGAAAAATGGATAGACGTCGCTCGGTTTCGATAGGATAGGAACAGCAAACCCGCGTGAGGAACCGAGGGGGCCGCCCCGAATACTCCGGCAAGCGCACGGGCACGGGGCCCGGGCAGGTGCCTCTGGCAGGAGCTCAGGCCTGGTGAGATGGCAGCCTGGCCCCGAGTGCTTCCTTGTAAATCATATGTTCAGATTGCCCCCCGCCCGCACCGGCCCACCCCCAGATTTACGTTAAATCGGGCGTCTCTTTCCACAGGAGGAATGTTTAACAACAGTAAAAAAATAGTCTGGGGACGATTTATCTACTATTCTTGACTATTTCTGACTTGTTGTTTTACATGTTCAATTTTTCGCCCAAAATCTTCCTCTAGGGGGACATGCCCGACCTAAGATTCACGTTCCGCGGACCGAGCGTATGAAAGGTCACAAGATGCGGCCGTGCTGCAGAGGCAGACGGTCATGTTCATCATCATTGTCATTATCCTCATCGTCGGCGTCACCACTTCGTCCGTTTCCTTACAGCCTGACGTCCTTCATGACCTGTGAGAAACTCTGTCCGCGGTGTTGTCGTATCCCATAAAGTGAGTATGCAGGGCGCTCTGATATTTTCGTCGCACAGAGTATCCCAATAGATGGGGGGTCGTTCTCGCCTGACCTCGCAGAGAGCCCCCAGGAGCACCAGCATCTGCACACTTCAAAGTGATCCCAGAAGATCCCACTGATCCTCTAAGAGAGCGCTTGGGGGGGCAGCTTCAATTGTGGATTATGCAGTGTCCCAAACAAGGGCAACAAGCTCCCAATAGCCTCTTGATATACTGGCATAACATACCAGAGAAGTGTGTGCTACCGTTCTGGGTGATGGTGCGCCGCCTGCGACTATGGGCCTGGAAACCACTGACAGGGATGAATCGTGAAAGGAAGTTGGGCAGTGTGCGCACAAGCATAACGCACATGTGCTCCGAGGACGGTGCGGAGCGCTCCGTGTAGCACCCGAAGAGCAGCGCGAGAGACGCGGCAATAATTTTCCGCACGGGGTACCCAGGAAGGTGAGACAGGTGGGCGGCATCCCAGGGTATGGCTGCGCGGATTGGGAAGCCAGGTGGAGGGTGAGAAACGAGGGGAAGGAATGTCAATGGAGCAAAACGATCTGGCTCAGTCCGCTGCCCGCAGGTTTCGTGGACGTGTCACCGACCATGCGCGCGTGTGAGGAATACGTTAGCAACCCTGAGAGCAGAGATCCATTCAGGGTTTAATGGACTTGCTGCCTGGGGGTCAGGCCAGGTGCCCTCGGAAGCGGATGCAGGACTAAAAGCGGCAGCGTGTCCTTGGTTGTGTAATAGGTGTCTTGAGGACACAGCAGCGGAGGCCGCTCGCAACGATAAGAAGGACATTCCCCAAGCTAAGCAGATGAAGTCAACCTGGGTGCGCAACCTCTCGAGTCTGGCGCTGGCGGCCAAGGACATGACTTGGCCCGAATGTGGCTCTATGTGTGGGCATCCCCGGTGCGTCAACAAACGCGGGAGCATGCTGCGGCAGGCGAGTGTACAGACAAGAGACGGGTGGCGGGAGCGAATTGTTGGTTGCCACCAGTGGCGGCCTGGACAGTGCACGATCGGGTACGACCTTAGTTGCCTCGATACGCGCGTTTTGAAACGCAACACGTCCCGTGTTCAAGACGTCCGTGTCAATACGTTGCGTGTTGGCTCCACGTATTGGACCACGTTTTGGCGAAGGTATCGCGTCGGACCCACGCTTTCAGCCTACGTGTTGAGCTCCGTATCAATACGATACGTGTTGCGTGTTGCGTATCGGGGCAGGTAAGTTTGGTTGACACCAGTGGCGGCCTGGACAGTGCACAGTCGGGCATGTCCTGAATGCTGACATGACACAGCCTGGCCGGCGGCAATGCCGATCGGCTTCCCCCAACTTGCTGGTCTGGTCGCCTCTGCTAGCGCAGGTTCGGGCACAGGGTGCCCAGAGCATTCATGGCAGCAGTACGGTGCAAGCTGTGCCGATGCAAAGTTGAGCATTGAGCAAGCTTGTCGCACAAAGAATAATTGTAAGAGTACTGGGATAATTCGGTGGGCGCAGGTCCGTCGGATCAGGGTTTGGGTCCCCTACGCGCTCCATCAAGCGAGGCACGGAGGCATCATCCCCCCTTCCATCAAGACACGCCTACGGGGGTCTAGAAGTCCATCCAGGGTGCGCTCGTGGCATCTGCATTTGCTGGGAAGTCTTATCGGCGGCGAGCCCAGGGGGGGAGTGAGAGGGGGCGGGCCTTCTCGGAAGGCTCGGAAGCCCCCCGGCCTGCTGAGAAGTTTTAAGCGTTCCCCGAAGGCACAGACAAAAAAGTTCAGACAGCCAGTTCGCTTCTGAGAAGCCCCGCCGTCTTCTGAGAAGGCCTGCTCCTTCTCACTTCCCCCCCTCGCTCTCCGCCGATCTTGAGGAACTCAAGTCGAAAAA